AAACATATTTTTAATCAAAATAAATTTTTTCTCTCTATTTTATCTCTTATGCATGCAAAACTATAATTTCAAAATAAATTTATCATACTATTAAAACAATTAATTTTACAACTATTTTCTTTTTATTTCATTCCTCTTGAAGTTTTATCGTATTCCGACATATTCAGTATTAATAAACACAAAAACAACAATAAAAAATAATTACATCTTCCTGAAAAAAAAAATACAGTCAAAAAAGAGATAAATCATCACTAAAAACAATTGTATGACAGACGGCTATGATAAAGCAAGAACAAACGGAGATTATGTTTACTTAAAATGTGAACGTCGGCTTTTTATTGTGGAAATATAAGGTATTTTTCTTTTTTATCTTTAAACTCGAAAAAACCAACATGTTCATGTTTTTTTACACAATTTATACTGCCTCTACTGAGCATGTACTCCTCTTATTCATAGCTAGTTGTTACAATACACTTTAACCTGTCTTAAAATTTTCATCTCTTCTATCTCAATATGATGATGTCATATTAACATAGCTGTTAATCATATACAATACGTCATATAGAAATGATAGATTATCATAACTGCCTACGCCATTATAACGTGAATGATAACAGATATGAGTAAAAGGCTTTTTTGACAAAGTATAGCCAATTGTCAAAATATCAGTTTTATTTCAATCGATTGTTGTGACGTTTGGATGAGTCCTTATTTGAAGTAGCTTCTAAAAAATGTAGCATAATTAGACTTACCTAGTTTCAGCATTCACAATATTTGTACCTTCAAAGTTAATTGAATATTTCAATAGCTCGTAATTTATAAATGGTAATACCATGCCAGTCTTTCCTAGTAATTGTCAATTATTTATTTCGAAAACGTGAAGTTTACAACTTAGAATAAATTTACAATGAATATCTGACTACTTTTACAAGAGAGTTTTTGCTGAATAATAGTCTTTTGCATATGACTGACTTATGACGCCGATTACAAATGTGATATGCGTTACATCTACTCCGTCTTCTCAGAAGTAATATATGAATTTTTCATTACAAAAATTAGTAGCACGACAGTGTCAGTAACGTATTTCTTTAAATAAAAAATTCATGAAAACATGTTTGTTAGTCCTATTAATTTGTGTCTGCGTGTAACCTGATATTCTCCAAACTGCTAGTATCAGAAAATTTATGTTTTTTGAGATCTCAATCCCATATATCACTTGTGAGAAGACTGAACAGATGCAACGGATATCACACATTTGTAACCAGCGTTACAAGACATATACAAAAATAAAACTGTTTTTTGGTTTAAAAATAGCGATGGAATACTTGAGAACTTTTTCTCATCAAATCAAATCTAAGAATCGAGGATAATAAATAAAAGTAATAAACAAGCTGTCTCTCAACACCAAAAGAGTTAGCTGTTATCTTGTTTTAATTCATCAAAGAATATTAGTAATTCATTTCCAATAAATTACGACAATTTTCTTGTTCACATTGACTTTTGTATCTTGTTTTTGTTTTTTTTTTGCCAATTAAAATCTTCAATGATTTTCATTTATGCCTATTCATTGGTAAAATCATTTCATGATCAACAATCGATTCGAGAATATTTCGTTTGATATCAAATTCGTAAATATGCCGTTTTTTACTACGCATAGGGATGGGAAGATCGGTGTGGTGACATGGAAGTGGAGTAGAATAGAAATAATCATGAAGCAAAGCCTAAAAATATTAAATAGTGCATAGCAAAAAAAATCAACGGATCTTAAAAAATCGTACTTGATGTGCCGGTATTCTTTGTTTTGACGGATAAACAAGAAATCTTTTCAATAAATCAATTGCATCTTTACAAGCCTCCGGGACAATGTCCTCAAATTTCATTCCTTCAACGTCATCAAAACTAATCTTACCATAATCGGGTAGATCTTTCATTTCCTAAAAGACATTTTTGCTCATATAGTATGCATTTTTATAGTAGAAAAAAGGTGAATAACTCACTGGCCACTGAGATTCAGTCGGTGTACCTAACAGTTTGCATACACAACATAATTGATGAATATCACTTTCACCCTAAATAAGAGAGGAAAAATTCAGGTAAAACGTACGATACTGTATACAGTGAGAACTCATGAACCCTCACAAAATATACATATTTTATTTGCGATCATGAGTTCTCCTTGCTCATATACTGTAACTTATGAAGAAAACGACAACTTACGGGAAATAGTGGACTTCTGTTTATAAGTTCACCAAATATACAACCAATAGCCCTTGAAAGACAAAATAATTTCTCAGTCATTTGTTTAAATAGTATGCCACACTTACCAGAGGTCCACACCTTCGTCATAACTTCGAGAACCATAGAGCAACTCAGGAGCACGATACCACCTTAAGGAAACAAGATGATTAGATAATAGATAAATTCAAAGTTTGTACTCAAAGAATACGAATCGTTTTCGAAGGGCAAGAAAATAGAAAATATAGTTTCTCGTAATCCTTGAATATGTCGAAAAATCTATTTAAGCACACTGTCTACAAGAAAATCGTTTTATTTGTAGTAGAGTGCTGAAACCGCTTTAATATCATTCGAAAGTCCCCAAAATTATCTAAAACGTTCAGCATTTGCTCACCTAAGGTATTCCGATTGAAAGATGAGACAAAAGCTTTTGATATCGTTTGACAACAACTTTTCCTATGTTGTCGAAATCAGACGAAAACCGGCGGTTAACCATGGTTATTTTAAGAACCGATGGTTAACCGCGGTTATTCCAGCTGAAACTATAGCAACACAGAAAAAGCGACAGTAAACCTCACAATTAATCGGAAAAACGGTCGATTTTCTGTTGTGTTGCTGTGGTTTCAGCTGAAATAACCGTGGTTAACAGCTGGTTTCGATAGCATGGGTTAGCGTGCAGTAAGATATGAGTCCTGTTAAATTTGAAAAGAAATAAAAGGAGAATATTTTTGTAAACGGCAACTTAATATAATATCTTTTCAAATAATTTTGGTTTTGTGAATAAAGCAATCCAGGAAACATCTGCAGCGCCGACTCTTAACAACTTTTTTTCTTTTTATTTGTCTAAACTTTATATTACCACTTCATACAAATTCTTTCGAACTTTAATATATACGTAAGTCGAAAGAGTAGAAGATGGACTACAAACTAAATTTGACTAGAAAAAACTATGCAGCAGTGAAGAAATTTAGTGTACGAATTTGTCTACAACTTTCGACTCATTCGTCAAGATATTTTTATTCAAAGCACTGTAATTCGTACCTTGTGGCAACTTGATGACTGTATTGTCGATGTGGTTGAACTTTATCGAATATTCTTGCTAAGCCAAAATCAGCGATTTTTAAATTTCCTTTTCCAGATATTAATAGATTAGCTGGCTTCAAATCCTATTTTTTGTTTTAAACAAAAAATTAAAAGTAACAATGAAATAGGTCCAGTTTTATAACCATACCCGATGCATTATTGAATTTTCGTGACAAAATGCTACACCATTCAATAACATTCGCATATAGCTTTTAATCTGAGAATTGGTTAACGGCTGCTGATGATTTCTAATTACTTCAGACAAATCACTGAGCATATATTCAAAAACAAATATGTAACCCATTCCTCAAATTTCGAAATGAATCCTAGTAGAGATAATTAATATGAGTAAAACAAACGATTACCATGAGGAAAAAAGTCCAGTAGTTTGACAATCTAAAAAAGTGCCAAAGAAATTAAGCTAATAATAAGCAGAAAGAATGTAAACATACATTTTCATGATCTTCAATTTCTTGTAACGCTTTAATTTCACTAGAAACAAGTGGAAAATGTTGAAACTTTGCAGTTTTAATATAAAATTTTAGATATTTACCGAATGATGTTGTGTGGTATACCTTCATCAATCGATTTTAAATGAACTCGTTTGAGTGCGACAATTTCATTACTCTATGAACTCAAAAATGTCTTAGAAAGTACATGTTTTATTATGTTTTTAACAAGTAAAACATACCTGAACGTGAGATGCCTTATAAACGATGCCTACAAAATAAAATTAACTAAGCAAGATACTCAGGATACTTCAGATATTCCTTACCATGAGCTCCTTCCCCAATTCTATTTAGGGTTATGTACTTATCCATATCATGTCTAGAATAAATTTGAAGAAGACTTCTATAAAAATTATTCAGATTGTTCAGTCTGCGCCATGGCACTAGTTATTTCCATCGAAATAACCTCTTTTATTATGAATTTATTTTATCATTGGATGTATTATCCACCAATGTACAAATCAAATAGATAAGCTAGCTCTCTCTCTTGCATCAGTTTCGCGAAACTTCTGGTCTTCTAGAACTTTATATTTTGCACATAACTTCTAAAAGGTTTAAAACAAAAGATCTGAATAATTTTTGGATAACTCATGAAAAAAAGTTTATAAAAAAGAATGGTTGCCGAAAAAATGAAACGCATTTTATCGACGCGTTCAACCAGAATCATGTATTCTTCATAACATTTTTCACATGTGCACACTCAAAATTCGCTATTCCTCGATACAAGATGGGTGTAGGAGTGACAAAATGTTGTGGACAATGCATCACCCTGGTTTGTGGATGTCATGGAACGTTGGGGGAATCGAAGGTCAGTTCCTCGGGGAATTGTGACTCTGTTGGCAGCACCCCGATAGGCTAGGAATTTCAATATCTCAGTTCTTGGACACCGCTCGCATTATTCGCAATCACGCTTTGGCGCTCATTGCTCAATATACAGAGCTTGTTCGTCTGGTCGCCAAGACCTTATTTTTTTGTGTCTCTCTCATTCATTCGTCTTGTAGTCCATACTCCTCGCCCTTTCCTTTTCTCATATACTCACATTTCTCTCATTCTTTACTCATTCTCATCCACAGCTACCATCGCTTGTACCTATGACGAGATCATCTAGCGTTTCACCTCCTTTCTTCATCGCCCAGCAACAACAATAAAGCCCACGTGACCTTTATAATATATAACGATAAAAATATCTGATAAATAAGCGTGTAAAAAGGATGCACAAAACTATGGTCTTGAAACTCAGTTTTAATAAAAGGCAGTCACAGGTCTCAAAATAAGGTTGAATCGTCCAACGTCATCCTAAAAACTATTTTAGTCATCTCGAAATTCGATTAGAATGAAATTACCGTTTAGATATCGAACGGAGGTCTAAATTCACTTTCTCGTTAAATATAAACAAGAAATTCAACTAAGTAATTAAGTAATAAGCGCAATATAGCCTAATATTCACTCGTTAGACTTGTGATCATAAGGTCCCCAGGTCGAATCTAGGACAAAGGAAAGGAAAACGCCACCGAACGCGTTCCTTGAAACTGAGAGTGCGTTCTACTACTAGAAGAACGCGTTAGTTGAAAACGGAGACCAAACTAGAAAAGGAACGCGTTCAGAGACGGGAAGAACTGAGAGAGAATTGGGAAGAGCGGGACAGTAAGGTTTGTCAATCAAAAATAATATCTGGACATACTGATTGTCTGATTACAAAATGCCAGGTTTTGGGGAAATGTACAATATTTTTGCTTTTTTAAGTCGTACGCTTATAATATTCAATAATCTTTTTTATTACATTTGTTCTATTATCATATATATGTCACTGATCACTTTTTCTAGTTGTACTGAAATGAGTTTGGATTATATTTATACTTATGTTCGAACTATCTAAATATAAATGGATTGTCTGTTGAATTTTTATAAGAATAAGTGTAACTAAGTTCTTTTTTGTGAGAGATTTTTCTAGTTACATGATTCACTTTACTTTTCTTTAATGATAAGAGATAATTACATTGGGATTGTATCGTTTCGAAAAAAAACCGAAAAAAAACAATTTACAAATAAAAAAGTTCTGAATCATATATTAGATAGTATTACTTTCGAGGTTTATGCAAAAAACTTTCCCAGCACTTGGTCGTATATTCGCTGAGAAATTTGATTTTTTTCAAGAGCTATACAATCTCTAAGTATTGTCAGTAATAAATAAGAATGGACTAGGATCTTTTTTGAATAACATTTGACAGGAAAGCGATAGAAACTTCTCTATATCGTTTATCATCTCTCGTCAGTTTTTGTTTGGATACTTTCACCATGATTTTATCTATAAGAATATATATAAAAACAATAATAAAAACAAAAATTACTAATGAAACTGTTCTATCATTTTGAGAGACTTTTCAATATTAAATTGAAGAAATTGTCAAGTATTGCAATCCCTATACTTTTTGTACAATGGATGCTTCCAAAAGGGATTGCATCCAGTCAGGTAGATAGCCCTGACTTCAAGGAATCTATTGTATTATGAGTGTCAGTTATACTCAATTTTGATCAAGTTATAGACAATAAATCTCGCAGGACATTTTTTTATGTAGAATGCGCTTTTCTCAGGAACAAAATGTTTCTAAAAGTGCATTTTTTATCACATACTAATCGTCCAAGAAAGAAAAAAGGGTAAAAGTTTGAGCTCAAATGGATCACTCATCATTAAGCTATAGACAAAACAATTTTTTAAATCTCTCAGGACATTTTGTGTGAAAACAACACTGTATTCAAACACGGTTTTTATTGAGATATAAAGACTTAGAAAAAAATCTTTTTAGCAAAATGTAGAGCTACTCTTGCTCTATTTTTCTACTTATTTGAAGAAAATTTTAAATCATCCGTGCCGTATGAAGAGCGTCTTGAAGTCTCGCAGGCAAAATCTTGAAAAGTGTCTGTAACGTCAGTTTTTCCTCTAGCTTTTATGGAAAACTTAAGTTTACTTAAAATCAAAGTACATAATTTGAAAGCCCTGTTTTCGGGCTACAAATTCTATTAAAGTATAATTCAGTAATCTTTAAATACGATAAAGGAAAAATCCCGTTTCTTTAGAGAAGCGACGCCAAAGTCACTCTGTTTTGGCCTTGTTTTGTTCATATCTCGACAACCGAATGAGATAGAAACTTATTTTTTTTCAGTACTGAATAAGCATCTTTAAGCAAACATCAAAAAAAATTATTAAGTATTGTTCCGTACGACAGTTTTTGTGAGCAAAACAATCGGTGAATAGCAACGGTACAATGTCAATGCAACTTTCTCATATATATTTATCGAGACCTTTATTGCATTATAGAGGGTTATGGTGGTGACTTCTTTTGTGTAGTCGTACTTGAGAAGGAAATAGGTTATTTTTATATTTTAGCAATTATATTATGAATATTATGAAATGAATCAAATATATTAAGTTAAACAATTGCTATTAAAATTATTCACGTTTTCAAATGGAATAATTTTCTGTGTTGACAATATAACAAAAGTATTTTTCTTTTTTCACTGATATTTTTGTTGATCTTATTCGAAATGTTTTTGATTAAGATTTTGGTATTTTGTGATGTTTTACATCCTTTTTGTTAAAAGTCATAGAAAAAATGTTAAACGGAGTTATTGTGCGATTGTTTACTGCTCCATCTAATATCATTTAAGAATATGACTAGAATTTAGTTCTGATAGTCTATCTCTATAGAAGATTCTCTTGATATTGCAAAGGGTTGCATTATTGAAATTCTCGAGACATTCGCTCCTTTCTAGAAATTACTATTGGTCGGTGACGGCGACGTGTGATTACTCAGAAATTTTCCGCCGTCGACGGGTGAAAATCCCGTCAGCAGTCCTCGCGCAAGTCTGCTTATAGCTGATTGAAAGAAATGAGACTATTTGGTTTTTAGGGACAAAAATTTCTCATTTGTGAAAAATCTATGAAAGAAATCGACAGACGTTATATAGTAACAAAAAAATAAAACCGCACTACATTTCCACCTAATTTTAATTTTCTAACAAAGATAGAGTTTACCATTTTCATAGAATTTTTATTAGTAGCCTAGAATAGAGATGTGCATGGGTACCATCTTTCATACCCGAACCAGCGTACAGCAGATAAAGTGTTTTTGTTGACAATTTTGACTCTGATATGTACTCATCGTTTACGCTTATCTATTCATTTTCGTACATTTTCTCCGACGTAAATAAAAGTTTAGAGACAATTTGATTGTTGACGTTGTCGCGTAGAAACAGTAGACGAGACGCTGAAATCGATTTTACGATAAATAGACAAAGACAAACGAGCAAAAATATCTTCAGACTTCTCCTATGAAAAACGTATTTTACGGCTACCAATAAAAAAAAAAACATATTAGTGCCCGATCATAAGGTTTGCACATCTCTAATTCAAAAGATGAACAATAGATGAAGCGAGCAATAGTTTTCTACGTACTATTTTGATTAAACGAATAATAGTTTCTATCCAGTTAAAGATGTTGTGGTTAACTTTTGTTTGTTTAACACATTGATGACCTGTGACGAGAAAACTCGTCCTTGTAACGACGTAAACGATTTTTACCGGTCATCAATGTGTTAATGTACGAAGACATTGTAGATATGTTCAAGACATTGAAGCTTAAATATTCAATATGACGGTCAAGAAAGTTTTGTTGCTATATTCAGACGTCTTTATATGATTGACTAATCGTCGCGGTATATGTTCTGTTTGAAAACGAGCAGCCCGAGCATGTCCAGAACTGTAGTGTTCCATCTTGTCCAAAGATAGAATAAAAGATCACACGAGTTACAAATTTAAAAATTAAAAACGTTGATATATTATTTTAGTAGTAGAAACACGAATATTCATAACGTATACATGCCTTTGAGTAAGCGTCAGCTGTTATTAAGTGTGATGTAATTGTTTTTCTTTCATGACTCATAAATTCTTCGTTCTTTTTCTCACTTATTACACTGGTACAAAGTTTCATACAGTATGGTGGCATCACCAGTAGAATAATTATTTTAACTAACTATGTAAAGGAATAAAAATTCGCTTATTTTTAGTCTACCTTTTGTTTCCGAATAAAGAGAAGACGTTTAGCTTATACTTACAGAACGAACAAGTACATTTATTTTTCGCTGATTATATATATAATAGAAGAAACATCCATTACATGTCACATCGCATACATTGTTTATGTTGTTACTTTTTTTTTCTTCTACTTTCATCTATGAGAAAAAACGACAATCTCCTTGATTTCTTTGAGAGAGAAACAAAAGATTTTTTATTCTTACTAGACTGAATTCATATTTTAGAAAAATTAAATATTTTTACAAACAAGTTTTTATACGAAAAAATCGAAGTAACATCTTTAATTAGACTTTACTATTACTAAGTGAAACAAATGGATAATCAGGACTGGAACATGCTTGATTACGAAGATCTTGGTATTCGACCATTTCAGTGGGACAGAGATTTAAATGATAAAACAGCCACAACAGCATCCATGTTCATTAACGATGAAAAAGAAGAATATACCTATGATTTGACAGTTGGCTCGGCTGAATTTTCAGCTTCGAAAAAATCTGATGAAAATAATTTATCCGAAAATGAAGAATGTGAACGAGATCCTGAAACAGGTAAATGAAAAAGCCCTATGTAGAGTACCGATATCAAACATTTTTTAAGTTAACTGTAAGATTGCATAAAACTCAATAGAAAAGGAAAATAAAACGGCATAAGACTACATGAATCGCACTATTTGAACATAGAAGTCTGTTGGATCGGACAATTCGTTTTTTTGAAAAATTCATAGAATAGTTTAGGTCATTTTGACCTTGAGAATTATTTTTCTTTAAGTAAATATAGTTTGAGAAGAAAATGAAAGAAAACAATATTTTATAGATATTTCATCTCTATTGAATGAAATGTGTAAAAAAAACTAACAATTTTCTTTGTTTCCTGAGACCAGTTATTGTCATGAATGAAAATGTTTTGATAATTGATGAAAAGTTCGATAAACTTTTAATATGGAATACATCTTGATAACAAGACATTTTTTTTGCTTGTAAGTCTGAGAAACATTTTTCAAATATTATCTTTTATTGAAGTAGGTCAAGTACGAAGTTCTCGATTCAAAATTCGAATGACTGTTTAGTCATTTGATAATAAGTTTCAGAAATAATAAAATGTATAATATTCTTTTATATTCGACTTGTTATACAAATATTAATAATTTGACATAAAATAGCCTAATGTTATATTTTTATCCCGTTTCATGTATCATTTGTTCTTACGATCTATCACATTCCATTAAAAAAAAACACGTGAATGTCTTCACTCAAAAAGAGAGCCGTTTTCGCTTAACGGTCAATATTATAAAGAATATTAGCATCATTTACCTTATACTCTTGTATTATCACTTCAACATGTGTCAATATTTACTCTAAACAGATCTGACGCATTAAGTCGAATATGTATTCTAAAAGGGTACTGACACCTGTTTTTATCTGTTTGTTAATTCTGACTTGGCAAAAAAAATTAAATTTTAAATTCTAGGTGAAAAAATCTTCAGTGGTCATTTACAAGACGTTGTCCCCAGCGACGAAAATCTTCCATCAGCACTTGTATGAATCGACTTTCTGTTACTGTTATAAATTAAACTATTTTATTTTGTTGTTTTTTAGTCTGTGAAATGGTTAGAAGATTATTTTTCAAATATTGAAACTAATTTATCGCCAACATCACTTCAGCTGTTGCCAATATCATCTGAAATTGATAATAAACAAGAAGATAAATTATCATTTCCAACATTATCCTCAGATGATATAAATTGGTTCAATGATCTACTAAATGATCAAGGCGTTTACGATCCTGAATCGACAGTTGTTCCCGCAATAACATTAAATTCCTATATGTTCGACTCACCGAATATGATGTCAATATCACCTACACCGGGATTTCTCATAACAAATACCACTACGTATAGTCCAAATCAAATAACAACCACCACTAATGAACAGGATCAATATAATAGAAGAAGAAGTATTATCGAATCTGTCGAGGAAAATCTTATATCAAGAAGAGATTCGAATGATACAATAAATTCGTTATCAGCTTATTCAAGACGTTTATCAAAACAATATGATAATAATAATACTAGTTCACTAATGTTTTCATCAGCAGCAGTAGAAAATTCACGTCTAAGTTTATCATCAGAATATGAAACAGATTTGCCATCAAATAATCATACAATACCACTTCATTTATTAGATGTAAGCATACAACTCATATACTTTGATTAAGGATAGTTGTGTATTAAAGCTAAACACTGTTCAAGAAATAGATTCTTTAATTCAAACTATAATCTTCTTTTGGTGAAACAAAATTGCTATTTATTTTAGAATGATTCAACAACTAGTGATAGTGGAATAACATTTGATGAAAATTCAAAGGATCATCAACGAATACAGACAAAAGTAGGAAAGATAATAATTAACTCAAATTTTTCATTGTAAAGACTCTTATATTCTATTTAATTGTAGATTGAGCCATTTGATGATATTTCATCAATTAGTACAGAAGAATCAAACGATCGAAGAATCTTGCATGCATTTCGTACATCAACTCGTTCGAAACGACAACGAGATGAAGAAACATTACGTCGATATAATATACAAATGTCATTAAATGAAGTAACACAATTTTCAACAGAGGATTATAACAAAAGATTGTCAGAAATGATATTTACAAATGAACAATTACAGGTTATCAAAGATATCAGACGTCGTGGTAAAAATAAGGTACATTGTGTTTTCTTCTTTTCTCAATTTAGAAGAAAAGAAACACTATTAATAATTTATTGTTTAGGTTGCTGCACAAAATTGTCGAAAACGAAAAGCTGTAAATGTTGAATCATTACTTGAAGAAGTTGATGAATTAAAACGTGTTAAAATAACACTTGAAGAAAAACGAAAGACTTTAGGAGAACAAGTATGCTATAAGAAAATGAATGTATTCTCATTTTTGCTTCATTACGATTGTTTATTTTCTAGATTATGAATGCACAACTAGAATATGAAACTTTATACAAACAATATTTACCCAGTAAAAAAATGCCACCATTAGCTATCCTAACTAAATAATTCTAATTAGTTTTCATTTTGAGATTTATTGTAAATATTAGTTTGTTACTTGAGAACTTGTATTATTAATTTGTAGAAATAATTATTTTTATTTTTGTATATTTTTTTCTTCTGGTGGTATCCCAACTTGTTTTGTTCTTTTTCGTATAATAGTTTCTATCTAGCGTAGAGTGAATTCACTAACAATATTTTTAGTTTATTTAATTTTTAAATAAGTATTATATTTGTTTGTTTTTATACGACCACTGCCATAACATTATTTTCGGCGTATACAACGGCGAATTTTTTGTTTAGTTATTTATTTATCAATTTATTCAAAAAAATATTTATTCAATTTAATAATAGCCTCTATTTGTGTCTATTATTATCGCTACTGTAAAAAGGAAAAAGATTAGTTAGTAGAAATATGAAGAAGAAGAAAAAAAAAAAGACTTATTGTTCATTAGTTATTTTTCACTATAATTACTAAAAGTTATACAATACTTTGGCATACGAAATTGACCTATTAAGAAAAATATGAAATTAAATTTGACTGTTCATAACTATAATTTTCTATAAACGTTGATCAAGTGCTCGAAGATACTTGGTTGCAATAATTTTTGGAAGTAATTTGTATCTAAATATAAAAAATCGATGATAAGATAAAAATTTGTTCAAATAAAGATAGAACAAGGAAAATAAATCTATTGTTTATGAGTGACAAAGATGAGTTTAATAAACTATTGGAGGAGAGCAACGATATTACATGATGGCATTGCTTTTTTCTATAATTACCTGAAAGCGACCATCAATACTAGCCACAATGGTAATGCTAACTTTGTGTAGATTATTGGTGAAAAACCGATTGCACACAGAATAACAAGTTGTACAATTTGTAACATGGTAAATAAATGCATTTTACGTTGTGGAACTTGACGAATATAATGATTGGGTGGATATGCAGCCTATATTAGAAATAAATTGAAAATTGTTTCTTGTACAATAGAAGAACAATCAAAAAACATACTTGTTCAGTAAAAAATAATGAAACACGTTCAAAAAATTGATTACCATCAAGTGATGTTAATGCCAAATATAAAAATAGTCCATCTAAGACAGGTGTTGGTATTTTTTTCAATACTTCACCCACTAATAATGTAGCGCCGATAAGTGCATGTGAAATAAGAATTGTAACACGAGTTTCACGAACTTTGACAATGCTAATTTAAATTTAAAAAAAAAGCAAAAATATTTGATTACCATCTTAAACTATTTGTCTCTACTTACACTGATTGAATATGACCACTTTCAACTCTTTCTTCAGTATCCGCCAAAGCTTTAACATGTAAAGGAGATAATGGAAGTGCTCCTAGAAAAAAAATATTAAATTTTAGTCTTTATTCGAATACTATTTATAAAATGAAATAAAAATGTGTTACCATGCATCCATGTTAATCCGAACAATGATAAGAGTCCATTTAAAATAGCAATAACAAATAAATCAATATGAAATGCTTTTCCTTTCTTCAGTCTGAAATAAAAAAAAGTTACGAATGAACGAACAGCGAAAAATAAGAAATAAAAACAATCGAACTTGTTCGAAGGCGAATTAACTATAGCACCGGCAATATTTTGATCGAGAAATATCAATAACGATAGAGAAAATCCCAGTATAGCTGTACATATAATTTGTAGAAATGTGACAGATTTAAATCGTGCCAATGAGAAAGGATGTTCACGCGCAACGGAAAAAGATTGAACTAGAATAAAATGATAAAGAATTTTTGAAGGACATACACAAAGATATGAGCATTCTTACAATTAATCTGCTTAAATAAAAGACTACCCGTTAATGTCATAAGTATTACGGATACTGGTAATGCATAATCAGCAAGTAGTTCTCGTTTGGCAGAATTTAAATAGGGTCTAAAAGATCAAAACGATGACATAGTATAGTAACGAAAACAGAGTATTAATATAAAAAATAGATTTTTTTTTCGTCTTTACGTTTGTTTAAATTTGTACAAAAATGTACCAGTCCAAACCGTTCCAAGTGTCAACAATAAATACAGTAAACTTGAGTCTCTGGAGCATTGTTCTACATTAAAAATAAAATTATCTACTTTTTGTTTTTATGTAATGATTTAGAATGAAATTACCTTTCAAATAATAATCTGTTACATTTTCTGTTTTATTCAATCGTTTATTTCGCCAATATTCATCATGTTTTTCGCATGCAGTTGTTTCATAGTTCGTCGAGAAATCTATATTAATAATGTTGGTTAAATATCTTTGAACAGTAAATTATCACTGAATAAATAAACTTACTCGTATGAACGTGTTTACCAGCATCAACAACAAATGCAATTGAGACAAATAGAGCAAAAATTTCTTCCGTTGATCTAAAAAAAATGTTACATCATTTGATAATTTGTTTATAATATCAAAAATAAAATTTTACCTTGTTGACCATTTCATTATTTTACTTAGTCCAAAAAATGAGTATAAAATAAGAAAAAATGAATTCCATAGACCAACTAATGCGTATATATCATGAAAATTTAGTTGATACCATGAAGAAATTGTATAAATTACTAAAAGAAATATAAATTAGCACACTAATTTTGTAAAAATTAGTCTATAATACCTTTAACATAAATGGTCAATGGAGCTGTGGTCATAACAACAATTAACGGTTGTCCTCCAAATACGGCGAAGAATATACCACCTAAACATTGAGAAACAACAGCTTCTGGTACACCTAAAATAGAGAAATAGATATTAAGTAATTTGTACATAGTGAAGAGGACTACGAGCAGTTTTTTACTTATTTTATTATGGGTAGCACTTGCATTTAAAACTCCAAACGCAATGCTTGGTAATAAGCACGCAAAATATAGAAATATTGTTGTTGAAATAACTTTTTGTGTACCACGATGTGTTTTGAATACTAGAATAGTAAATTTTGACAAAAATATAAATAATTGTGATCAATACTATAAATGTGACTAAAATTTCAATGTAATATACTAACGTAACTGTCATAGTAGTCAGAACAATAATGCGGTATTCGACGTAGAAAATCCATCCATATGTCAGACAAAACTGGACAATAATATGTTTTTACTTTGAATATCTACGTACAAAAATAAAATAAATCAATCTTATAATCAGTATTAATAATAACGGAAATTGATTTTACGTCAGTATTTGTGTTATTATCTTCTAGTTGATCTTGAACAGCATCACGATTGGCAGCAGATATTTGTTGTTGTTCCATTAAACCATCTGTATGTTTCTATATTGTGCATCAGTAAATAGAGCTGTTATCTTTTCATTAATTTTTTTATCTTAAAATACTTACGTCTATGATTGATATAAATTCTTGTTGAGTAGCGGCTTTAAGCAATTTGGCTCTTAGCTCGATATCAGCAAAAATTGTGGCAAATGTTCGTCCAGTTTCAAGAAAGTTCTTTGTACCTTTCTAAACAATAAAATAACTGTATAAAAATATGTTTAAATCAATTTATAATTTAGTTTTTACCTCTTTCATTGGAGATAAAATGAAGACGATAAACCTTGCTTCTTGACAATTTCTACCAAAATTACATGGATTTTTCAGTCTAGCTATAGCTACATGTCGTCGTTGAACAGAAGGTGATGTGGACATTATGGCTAACCAAGATTGATCGTATGTCCAATTAGTTTCTGTAGCAGTTGTAGCTTGTAACGTTTTTGATAATATTTGAACTAAAAATAATGAATTATTATAATCAAAGTTATTATACACTAGGATAAAATGGATACCTCGATCATTGACAAACAGTGATTGTTTTATTTCTTCAATATTTAAATTTTCTCGATGTGCCGTTGTTGTACTATTGGGTGTATTCATTATTTTTCTAATCATTATTTCCATCAAGTTCCAAATACTTGTATCCGGAGCATCCAATAAAACAATAGCGCTGTAAATGAATTCTTCAAAAGAACGAAATATAATTCTTGAAATTTTCTTAAGAGCAAGAAATAGATTGAATACAAACCTTTTATATCTTTTCCACCTCTGACTTCAGCTGCAAAATCTTTAAGTGGTATATGCTGAAAAAACATGGAAAATTTATTAAATAAGATTCTCTTATTTCATGTATACTTAGGAGGTTGATTATGGAAGTGGATACATACTTCTGATTTGTTATATACAAGCTGTATTTGGGCATTGTCTTCTTAATAAACAAATAGAAAACATATTTATTTATATCTTCAGAATAGAATCTATTGAAAATCTCTGAGAGTACTTGACTATTGTAAGTGAAAGTTTGCTATGTCTTAAATATATCGCTGTTTATCAAATTTAAAATACGATCGAAGGAAGAAATTCGGACGCTTATTACTGTTACTGAATATGATAATACGAAAAAAGTTAGATGGATTATCACACTCTGGGTGAATACAAACAACAAGTAAATAAGTGCCAAACTTATAGTTAGGAACGTTTGAGCTACTTTTAATTTGTTTTATCCGTTGCATACGATTCTAAATCGACTCTCACTATAGCAACTGAAACTAAAAACAAGTATCTATTAGTCAGCGCTGTTCATTGCTGATGCTACTAAAGACGACATACTCTCCTATGATTTGTACTTCGAAATGTTTGTCACTTTTGTTTTTTCTGTCTTTTAAACCTCTACGATAATAATATAAAAGGTTATGAAAATTTTTCGAATCAATTCTGATGGATGAACAATAAAAATCTGCGTAAGATAAGATTCGCACGGAATACCCTTCCATTTTCCAAGATTGAGATTCAAGGTCTGAAAATAAAACTTTTGATGACGTCATCATATGTAACAGGTATAACTAAGTGAATGCGGAAATCTCAATCAATTTAGATCGATTTTAGATGGCTAATAAAATTTTGTAATATTATAAAATTAGCTTGAAAATGCTTGATTTAATTTAAATTATAGTTATTGATTTCATTACATGCCATACAACATTTGTAGTGAAAAGTCGAAGTCCTCTTATCCCAGCGTAGGAAACCCGCAAGATTACATATGAATGAGAACATAAGAAAGTGAACATGCAATAGAAAAATATAGTGATAAAATCAGAATTATATGACAGGAGGAATATACTATACATGGATATTATAGCTGTTTGCAAATGGTTCTTTTCATCAAACAAGTTTTCACTCGGTTTTTTAGCTTATGCATTCTACCATGAGATGCAGAATGAAGGATGCCAACGTTTCTATTTATATACAATATTTCCAGACTCCACCAAACACCAACGATGAGATTCAGATTTGTATGGAACGTTGTTAATGTGGCCATTTTATCTTTTACAGATCTCTATCGTTCATCTATCAAAAATTATTCAGAAACTATCTATGACATTCTATTTTGATTTCGATAGTAGATTGCTTCTCGTTTTCTTTTTTCCTATATCAGACAATGAAAAAAGCTACCACCCTATGTGGAGTGAAACCATTTATTAATTAAGTTTTGATAGTAAAACTTTTAGAGAGAAAGGCGAATCAAATTACATAAAACGCGTTTTTCCTTTCTTTTTTCTCTTCTTTCGCTCTCTCTCTCTCTCTCTCTCTGATCTTCTAAATAAGAAAACACTAGAAAAATCCACCATCGTAGTAAAAACTGATTCCCGACGGGTGATTTCTGTGCATCCTTTCTAAGGATATTAGATTATCATCTTTAACATACTTGTTATGAAAAAAGAGATCTATCAAAAAAAAGGAAACTATTTTATATACCATTTATACATCTCTTTTAGCTATTACCACTTTCTGATTTAGCTTATCGCTATGTTTTATTAGATTATTTGTAAATGAAAGTCAAAAGTATTTTCAAAATACTTGAATACATTTTATGCAATGAACTATATATGATCGTTATTCTAACTCTTGTCGTGCTTATACCGTAGCATTTAATCAGTTAAAGTGAATTACCATCACCGTATTATTACTGTAGTTTCTGCCAAAGAACATTCCACAAGATGAAAATCAATTTTAAGATGGAATGTCTCTCTCGTAATAACTCTTAAGTACATTTATAGCATTATTGCTCTTCTGAGTCTGTATTATATACAAAAAAGTTTACACTAACGGTAAATTATAATATGAATTTAAGACTCCAGCGATCTTAATTATACATAATAACCTTCTTTTACTTCAGAAATCTCCTAATTCAAAAATAACTATACTTTTACGGCTAAAAATCATGTATGAGTTGAAATACAATAAAAATATCACAAGTTGACAATGTTGAATTATCGAATGTATTCTATTGGCTTAGATACGAAACTAGATAATTGTTGTCAGATCTCGTTATTAAGACTATTCAGAAAGATTATAAAGTCTGTTTCGATTTATATATGATTTCTAACACAATTTGACAATATATTATGTGCTATACTCATTAATCTTAAAGAGATGCGGAATATTTCCACTCTCTTCTCTCGTTTTTCGTTTGTTTTGTTGAAATTTATCATTATTAAGCAAACGAGATCTGGTATAAAAGAAGAAGCTATTGAAATGTTGTGTACGAATGTTTTAGATTCGATAGTGTGGCGTAAAAAGTGTATGACATTTTGTAAAACGGATGTAAAATAAAATAGGTGTTGTCTATCGATTTATTAGTAGTAATTAGTGGGTCCTAAGTAACAGAGCTAATTAATCCAATGAGCTAATAACGCATCTTCACGATAGTTTCGCTGATTTCTGTTTCAAAAAGTACAACAAGGTGTAAGAAAAATAGGTTCTTTTTTCTAAGATGAGTTAACTTTTCCTTGATACAATATTCTCATATATTTAACAACGCCCAGCTAATGCTGGTCACGAACGTCGTCATGCTATGCTTAAACTTCGTTTGATAGAGTACTACTGCTTGTGCTTCACCCACATATAATCTAATAATACTGATAGTATTACTACAGTATAAAAAAAATCGTTAATTTTTTTACATATAATAACCGTGGGCCAAAATGTTTTGATTGTAAACGCAAAAAATATATATTTTGCTTCATTTATACCGGAATAAGAAACAAAAAACATCTCTAATTCTCTGGAATACGATATTTCATTTAAAAAATACAAGATTTAACTTGCACGCACAAAACACGCTGAGTGTGAGATTTATTAGCGTTTCAATGCGTATGCCATGAATGCTGATTATGAATTTCTGCTACAAATCATATAAAAGTTGAACAATTGTAGTTATCAATCGATAGAAAAATCTGATGTTGAAAAAGATTATTTATAATGTTGCTATACGTGGGAATAAATGTCTATTGATAAATTTGTTTCAATGTTCTATTAATAAATGTAGCATAGTCATTATCTTGAGTGCGTCATTACTATTATTAAACACAAAAAAATACTCAGATGTTCTAATTACTACTCATAAATCGATAGACAACACCTATTTTATTTTACATCCGTTTTACAAAATGTCATACACTTTTTACGCCACACTATCAAATCTAAAACATTCGTACATTTTCAACATTTCAATAGCTTCTTCTTTTATACCAGATCTCGTTTGTTTAATAATGATAAATTTCAACAAATCAAGCGAAAAACGAGAGAAGAGAGCGGAAATATTACACAGCTTCTTGAGATTAAAAAGTATAATAGTACATAATATATTGTCAATTTTAAAACCTTCAGGACAGTAACATAAACACAATATGAATTAAGTAAACTAATTAAATAATAAATATACGCTTAAAATCATGTCTTCTTACCCCTCACTAACTGCCATTCATTTTTCTCATATAACCATCGTGATGTTTCTTCAACGGGCGTTGACTCTTTGGTGGGTTTTCGTCGAAAACTAAATTTTCTTGAACTCCCTCCGTGTCGTCGAAGCGATGATTCAGTACGATTCATTCGTTATTTAGTTGTCTTTTATTATTTTTTCACACATATATATCTTTATGTAAATGAATCGTTCATTTTAGTTGTTGATGCTGATTGCACACAGATTAAATAAAAAAATAATTATTCATCTCATATATCTATATCAATGTAACAAAAAATTCTTTTGTTTTTTCTCTTCTTCAAAACAGCAACAAAAAGAGAAAAGAAGACCGAATCATAAGTTATTGCGTGTTCAAATCAATTAATCTGTATATAGTTATAGATATAGATATAAGATTGTACGTTGTCATCACTTGTAGTCGAAGAGACAAGAACCAAACGTATGATATGTGAAGAAAAAAAAAAAAAAAAGAAGATTTTCAATTAAATTCGACTAAACAAAATCTGGAAAATAGTTTGTTTAATGGGTGTCATTTCTTCATAGCATAATATTTTTGAAAAGAAACGAGATGAGGAAAAAAACAACATGGATGAAGAGGTCTAAATAGTCTGAACGATCTTTTTTTTTTTATAGAACTATAGACACTAAGTTTATTACATGTATATTCCTCTTTCTCCTTCTATAACGAAAAGAATTGAGATGATTGACGTGAAGAAGAAAAGGAGAGATTGCAAGAAGACGAATCACAATAATTTATAGCTGGTGTATACACCACGCCACTAAATAAAACAAACATTCTGCCTCTTCTACTAATAAACGGCTGTCCTTTTCCCAAATAGATACATTTATTTTTTTTTTTGTGTTGTCATAAAATATAGAGATAGTTTTTCTTCAAAGTGATAGATGAGTGAAGTCATCTGCATTGTGTACAAAAACAGTTGTTTTCATTCATAAATAGTTCTCACGCTCTCCCTTTCTCTCTTATATCGAATCACAAAATAGATAAGAGAAAAAGAAGGAAACGGAAATAGGAAGATTAAAAATGTTTTGCAATTTTCAATAAAGAATCTACAACGTTTGTGACTCATTAATAACTTTTTCGAGCAATTATAAGTTTCGCTGTCATCCTAGAAAAGATTTAAGAATTTATAATTCAAAAGATAAGTTGGAAAAAAAAACCAATTAAAAATTTCTAGGAAAATTTCTGTCCTCCAAGTATGTTGGAAAAAAATAAAAATTCTTTTTCCTTTATTTTTAATCTTGATAAATAATCGTTCTTTGGTTGTGATACTTAAGCACAATATTGTTGAAAAAACAGCTAGCTATAGCTATGATTCTAAAAACTATATAACATTTGTATACGATTCATAATACTTAGTTATAGAACAAAGCACACGAACACAGATACGATGGTCATTATTTTCATTTTCAGGTATCTACTACGAGTGATGTGCTTTATCACGGATAGAAGATGATAGAATATAATGAGGAAAAAAAGATATTATCATTCTTTGATGTTGACAGTTTAGAATTAATTTAGTTATAGCCAGGCATGACTGCGGACGATATAACTGAAGTTATACAAATTAGAACGAGATTTTAGGATACTTTTAATAGCAAAATTTATGTTACTGTATAATGTCAAGAATATACAACAAAATATGTAGATACTATCAATATATAACCTTTAGAAGAATAGCCAACTTCAAAATAACGTCTGAAATTTCTAGTTATAGGAACAAAACTAAGAAAAATAATTTACACAAAGAAGATAATGAAAATAAGAATAGAATGAATCCAATTATACGAGTTTTCGAAACATTATGGATTGCTATAGAGAAAAATCAAGAGTAGACAACATTTTATTTTTCCCTAAATTAATTGTACTAGTATCCATATAGTAGAAGAGATGTCTACAGAATGGAAAGCAAACAGTTACAAATATATATTGTGAGGTCAACTCTTCATATCCACTATAATTCTAAAACTATTAACACTAAATGTTTTCATGAATTTAATATGATAATATCGATGATATGATGTACATTAAACCTAAAATCTGGCAGACTTAAAATTTTGATAAAATGGATTCTTTATAAAAATGAGCTATTAAATAAAAATTTAAATTTCCAGTTTAGCATACTAGACCGAAAACAAACGAGCACCCATTTTAGATTGTACAAGTGCCGCAAAAACAACATAGCTCACGAATATTTTGATGTTATTTTAGTCCTCACAAAAGGAAGTTTAAATTTCTATCTGAATGCTCATTTTTATGAAACTGTCTATGCTTTATCAGAGATTTTAGATTAGTTTACAACAAAATCATGAAACTGTGAAAAGTGTCTAATACAGTTCTTTTTTTGAACAAAAAATATTATCTCGTGTATAATTCCATTACTGAATGTGACATAAGTTATCAATAGTTCTGTTTTAAATATCTCTCATCCCAGCATGACTTGGCAGTTACGTTATTTATCATATGCTTCAAAGATACCATGTTTGAGGCTCGACACCATCACATGCTCGTGCTTTGAATTACTCGTTCGACAGTATATTTACTTTGTTACGACGTACAAATGCAGTTTCTTCAGTTAGTCTTCGTGAGTTGTTGGAAAGCTAATACATGATTAGTCAATGTATATGGGGAGGGAAAGAGTTCTGCATAAAGCTAGCCTTCTGGATAGAATTGCAGTTGATAACTAGTAACAATATGGATGATTATATCAAAAACTTGGCAGCTTTAGGGAAGGAAGACACCAAGTTCTTGAGACTTACACTTGTCATTACCAATCAAAAATCGGTTTAATCTTTTGCCGGTTGAGATATGACATAATTCAACTAGTTTATGGAAAGATATTGAGAAAAAATTTAATAAATTATATCCAAAAATAAAATTTATGTGTGAACTTAGAAATTATCATTTATCGATATAAACATTCTAAAATGAATAAAATATGATACTAATTTATAAAGAAAACCAATGAATACTAGTCGATGTGAACAAGCCAGTGTGAACAACAAAAAGAATCACAGTTCAACGCTATAATTTTCTATTAAACTAAAAAGAAAAAGAAAGACAATTTTTCACAATTTTGACATATTATATATTATATAATGAATATGAAACAAAAATATTTGATCGATGATAGAAAACTTGAAGCCAACAACCCCTAGTGCTAATTGGAGGTTTATTGACAATTGATTAACAACTAGTAAAATTATTTGTAAAAAATCATAAAAATGTTGATGACTCAACTTCAGAAAGAACAAAATCATTTGCAATCAATATTCAAAAGTTTACATAGAACAAGCCAAGATATCGCTAATGGCGAAAATAGCTCAGCATTGTGAAAAAAGAAAGACATCAGTATATAGTATACAATAAAAGCTGTCACGATTTTTTTATGTTCAAATGGAGAATAGTTAATTCAGTTTCGATTTATTGGTTATATAGTTTTAGTTTTAGTAAGAAAGAAAAAACACTATAATCATGTTATTGTTTCTCTGCTGAAGAAGGTTGTGAAGAAAAGGTATAGTCATCAGTATTAGAAGATTTAGTCTTTTTATCTCCATTTGAATAACCATTTGATTTTTCTGAAAAAACGTTAGGAAGTCGACCATTATGAAGTATTTTTTGTGTAACTTTTTTACTTCTGTATTTTTTAATAAAATAGTAATGTGATTTTAGAAAAATTAAGATTTCATCATATTTCTAGGCTAAAGATATGCAAAACAAAAATACTGTAAAACTTGCTACACCTGTTAGAACACGATGTTTGTTGACGATATAGTATTCAATTTTTAAAGTATCTTCTCTAATGTACAGACTTTGATACAAGTGCTTGAGTACTTGGTAGATAGTTGGAAAAATTTAGAATTCTTCTCAAAATTACAGACTTATCCTATACTTTACAAGACTTCTCTAAGCGTATACTTGGTTTTATTTCGACAAAGTACTTTGTGAAGATACTCGTCAGCGAAAAATCAAGTATTTATAAGTAAATTTATTTCTGGAAAAAAACTCAAGTGTCTGCTTCATTACGTAGACAAAGTAGTTAAAATTGATATTTGGGTACAAGTACATTTACTAGAGTCTTAGAATGACATACTTTTCTTGTAAGGAAGGTTGATAAGTCAGACATAATGAATTTTCTCTTCCTAATCAATTTATTTAAATTCAATTGTGACGTTTTGTTGATCTCAGATCAACTTCATCAGACAAAAAGTACAAACTTTTAATTTTCTACTGCACACGACATATATATTTATATATGGCACAAGTCTTTGTTCTATTTCTTCTCTTTAATAGTCATACGGAAAGGTTAAAAACCGGACTAGTCACCTTACCGTCTTGTTTCTGTATCACTATTAACCCTCCGGAGGTGTCCGCATTTTATCACACGAACGATGTATGTGGACCCACATGTGGATAAGTAAGGAAAACGTGACTTTTCACCTGTACTGTGCTATGTAAGATATTCTAATTTTTCATATGATTCGTATGCATCATTAGAAGTCTAACGATTAGCGAAGAGATCGCTTCGAATTGCATAGATCTTAAAGTAGAAAAAAACAGAAAACACTACCGTGAGTCTTCTTGGACCCACAAACGCCTCTGGAGGGTTAAAGAGAAGAAATAGAACAAAGACTTGTGCCATATATAAATATATATATATATATATATGTCGTGTGCAATAGAAAATTAAAAGTTTGTACTTTTTGTCTGATGAAGTTGATCTGAGATCAACGAAACGTCACAATTGAATTTAAATAAATTGATTAGGAAGAGAAAATTCATTATGTCTGACTTAGAATGACATAATATCAAAATTATAATAGTTAAGTAATGAACAAAAATGGAACAAAAAGCTAAGCTATTTGATATCACAGAGATAGTCTACAGTTCTGCGCTGTTATTTCTCTAATAAAGAAATAGTGGAAAATTTATTTGTTTTGCACGCTGATTTTTTCCCTTCTCCTGTATCGTCTAATCAACACCATGTGCATGACTGTTCAAATCGTTAACACATTACCTATTTATTTATTTATTCGAAAAATGCTGTTTTTCTTATACTATTTAATAAAGAGTGAGATAATATACTTACTACTACTACGTTCACGTTCTTTTGATTCACTTAGATTAATTACATTTGAGGAAAATAATTCAGTCATTATTCGACTTTATTTATTAGAAGAGATTATAAACAAACGAAGAAAATTATTTGACAAGGTAAATATCATAACAAAAACTAACAGTAATAGATGACATATTGACTATGCGTTGATGTTGAACATAAAAATTTAACTCTCTACGCACAAATATGGATGAGAATATCTCATTAGTTCTATATTATTACCATAAGGTCTTTCATTAGAAATTATCATTTGAATAGATAATAACAAAGAAAAATGATAAATTATATAATTAGACTAGTTAATGTTCATTTATTTAACAAACAAAACGACGGGAGTTTTCATTTAGCGACAAAAAAAAATGTTTCTATCTAATATGAACACGATGTAGCCATTTCTTTATAAAAATATTATATCTCATAATATGGGCGAATCAGTTTAGAGATTTTTCAAAAATTAATTGGTCAGTCAATCAGTTAAAGAAAATCGTGTCAACAACGTTTTCTTCCAAATATTGAGTCACGAACTTGATATGTTCACGTAATTAAATTCATTAAATATATTTTAGAACATTTTCTCGTATCAATGTGTGTACAATTTCACCACTAAACAACTGAAATTGAGCTTAGTAAACGAAAATTAATATTTCAATTTAACTCAATTTGCATCGTAGAAATACGAATGTAACTCGGTTTTCTTAAAATTGAATATAATAGTATTTAAAAGTATCTAGTTCAGATTATAGCAGATAAAGATTATAGCTCTCAGTAAATACTAATCATTGATCACATCAAAATGTAATGATAGCTGTCCACTAGCTACGATTGACTTTTTACTGGTAAAAAAAAACTTACCGTTGTTTCATGATTAACATTTTGAATGATCTTCAAAGAATCTAACTAATAACTCGACTCAGAAACATACTTTTAACATGAAATATTTTGTCAAGATTCTTGAAACATCTATGAATATTATTCTTACAACGTTTGAGGGTTAAGTACAATAATGAAACATAGTATCACCTGTGCATTACATCCATGCCATAATATCTTCTCACATTTGACTAGAGTACTTAATCATAAAACTGTATGAGAATAATGTTCATAGATGGAACACTTTTCTACTGAAAATTTCAAATCAAGAATTTTTTATGATTGTAAAATTTCAAAGATTCAGATTATATTTGTAAAAATACTGTATGTAATCATCTAGACATCAAGTAAAAATGTTGTTATTCAATTTCTAATATATAGATGTATTGTGAAAACATCAAATTCTTTTTCTAATTAAGTATATTCGACAAACAGTCCTAGTAACAATGTCAATTATTTCGTTACATTTGATTCATCGAATTGAAGTTCAGCTGGCTATGCAGTATTAGATCATTAAAACTAGTAGACAAGATGCATAAAAGATTTCTTGAACATGGTTAAGAGAAAAGAATAATGTACTTTTGTTGTTATTAATTCAAAACTGTCTTTCAAAGTGTTAATAGTAACAATAAGATATAGAATTTATTCACATGCATGATATATGTGAATACAAAACAGTCAAAAAAAAAAAATCTCTCTATATTGAGGATTGAAAGATTATCAATATATTAAAAAAGAAAAAGAAAAACAAATTTTCTAACTAGCATAATTTCAATGATAAATTTTATTAAATTCAAACTGAAACTCGGCTCATCAGTTTTCATTATATAAAACAATAGCATGAAGCAAATCTAATCAATATACAAAAATACATAAATACAATCCAATATTTCAGTCCGAATAGCAAAAAAATATAAAATCAAAATAAACGACTATTTCTGAACAGTAGCACCAATATTTAACACATATATTATCCAAATATTTTCATATATACGTTTATGATCTTGTCTGTTGTCTTTCAAATGCTTCATGTGATGAATTTGCTTTATAAAATTTAACAGGAAAATTAACATTAGGAAATAATTGTGCAACTTTATCCGATATAATTTTTTCTGAATCATCACTTGAATTTGAATTCCATATTTGTATAACATCACATTGTCCATCACGTGCTTGAATGCTAACACCGACTATATCATCATTATCAATTTCAAATTGTTCACCAATTGTTGCCAAACATAAATCTTGCCAAACATCGTTGGTAAGTTGTTTAGGACATTTAGCAGTCCATATACCACCATTAATATTTTCAGTATCTTCCCATAACGGTTTTCGATTATTACGCATTAAATGATAACTAATACGATTCGATAATTTACTAGGTGCTTCAATAGAGAAAAATAACCAAAATATAAAAAATGATGCTATAATTTAAGTAAGAAAAAAAAATACATTCGCTTACCCGGAATGTTATTGAAAACGGACCAAAATTCTTGTACAGCAGCAACAGTATATATAAGACTTAATCCACTTTCATAATCATTTTTTGATATTGTTTTGGATTTTTGATTATCGAGAAGCCAAAATGTCCATGATGAAGCTAATGGTGCCGCTTTTTCTTTACTTAATGAGAGTGTATGACGAATTTTTGCTACATAATTATTATCATTAACCTCTCCCTCATTTGCTGATAGATAATGTTCATCGGCACTATCATGGTCACCTTTATCCATTGTTGACGAATTTTCATCGTCCAACATCTAAGAATAAATATTAGAAAATATCAAAACACAGATAGTAGAGTCAATTAAATTGATTCTGGAAGATTTTTATTAACTTTTTAATATTACGACAACTTCAAAAATGTATAATTCAATAACATTCAATCATCACATCAACAAACTGACATGATTCACTTCTGTTGCATAATAAAGATTTCAAATCAACTTTTTTTCAACTGATTAAATCAGTGAAATATTGTTTACTTTAAAATGTAGACTACTGTTAGAGCGTTTTCGCTCAGTGATAATCGGTTCAGTAAGATGAAACTATCGTTCGTCGAATGATGAGTGTATAACTCATGTTGACATTTCTTACTGTTGTTTCGAGAGTTAATTACGAAAATCCATCATTCTATTCTGTAGAAGCTAAAAAATATTCCTTCCGTTCTCTGCTGGAACGTGCTATGCTCTGTCTTCTCTTATTCCATTCTTCCGTCAAGATTTGCTTATTCCTCGAAGATCGATATACTGAAAGTAAGATTCCTTGGCGAATCATTTATTCTTCAACGACGGGGATCACAGAAAACTATTTTAATTATTCAGCGCAAAGATAAAGGTAGATAATTGTTCATCAAGGAAATGTTAGCAATGAGACCGCCTAAGGTATGGATATACTTTCTTTTCAGAAATACTAATAATATTCTTTATTATTATTTTTTAATTGCTTCTATTTTATATTCACCTCAAGTTTCTTTTTTGATATTTTTTCTTTTCACTTCTCTCTGTACAGCTTCATACATTTTTTTTTTGTTGTTGTTAATGTCAAGTACAAACTATCGAGACGATAATTCGAATATGTAAGCATGAATCTAAACGATTATATTTTTTTTCTAGTTTACTGTACATCTAAGTTCACCTGGTCGCACAGTGGGCATTGAGGCGGAAATTTGAGCAAAAATTGACAAGTGAGCTTTTTTGAATTTGAACAGTAGTAAGCAGTCCTTGAAAAGTGCTATCGAATGGTATATAATGATCGACTAGTAATGAACTCCTTCGATGAGTAAGTTAACTTACAAACATTCACAAAAAACACCGTCAAATATGACACATCTGCAAATATTCTTATTTCTATGTACAGACGTGCAATATTACCCTATCCAAAGCACATATTCGGAATCAACACAACCTATTGCATCTCCTGATAATCGAAGGTACTCCTTTTGCATCTTGTACGAAACGAAAAAAGGTCTAGTAGTCTAGATTACTACGGTCCGACATG